CCTCTAGTCAGGGAAGCCAGTTGGCCATGAATGACTGAGTGTCCATCTAAACCAAAGAAGAGTCTATTCTATGAAGAGTCAAAGCTGAGAGACAACACGAAGACAAAACTTGACTGGTAGGTCAAAGAAAAGGAAAGACCAAATGAGACCAATGTTTATAAGCCACCAGAATCTGAACAAGATTGCTTGTGACAGAAATAGCCAAGTACAGATAGCATACCGAGAGTCTTATGGACTGGCCTATAAGCAACTGGAAACTTGGCACAAGAGTGTCTTTGATACATGAACAACAACAACAGCAATGCCAGTGTGAGCGATACTAGGGAACATTTACTAGTCAGAAATAAGGGAGAGTCATTTGTGATGGCTAATCTTTGCTATAGGCCTGATTGGGTCTGAAAGCAACTAAAAGACAAGCCTCTGGGTGTTTACTGGAATGGTTAAATGAGGAGGGAAGACCTTCCTCCTTCAAGATTGGAAAGCAGCTTCCCGTGCCAGCCCGGATATGAAGAGAGCCAAGGGAAAAGCGTGAGAGTCTGCCTGTCTTCCTTTGCCCTTACCAAGTGCATCTGCCCTGCTCCTGCCACTGCTGCCATCTTTACCTGGTCTCCTGGGCCTTCCCATATGAACCAAAGACTAGCTGCTCTTCAGGGATCCTCCAGGTCTTTAGCAGCAGCAGAATGGGAATGTTGAGTTATCTGGCCTCGTAAGTGGGGTATCAGCCTTTCAAGAGTACAGTTGGACTACCCAGCCCACATTGGTTTGAGGGCCCTGGTTGCGCTGGTGTGAGACAGCCAGCCCAAAGGCTTAAAAGCATGAGAGCTGGACCCACCCCTCACTATGGCAGTGCTGGAGAGCTGGCAGGATGACCAGTTCAGCTACAACCCAGGTCCAGATCCAGGGTTTTGAGTTAGCCCACCCCAACATCTACCTCATCTATGAAGTGCTGGCTTGCGTGAAATCACTATTTCCTGTAGATTCTAAGCTACAAGATCTCGTGACACAGGGCAACAACAGAGTATCTGAGGGGAATCCGGTGAGGATGCAGTACTGACAGTGTGGTAGAAGTCAGAGGCCTCAAGCTAGATCAATGATTCATTGCAGTAGACATTTGAATGTAAAGACGTTTGAGCAAAACAATGTACTGTATGACGTACTGTGACACACCACAGCTTCCATGGCAAAATGTTAACTTTTGTTTTCTTGGGAGTGGGGAGGGAAGGTTGTTAGGGTGGAGAGTGGATATGGAAGGATGGGGAGATGAGTGGGATTGGGACACATGATGTGAACGCACAAAGAATAAAAAGTTTAAAAATACCCAGAATAAAAAAGTAACTCTAAAAAACCACTGGAAAAAATGGGCAAAGAACCTGAATGTAAATGTGTAAATGGTGCTTAGTGTTGCTTAGTGAAAATGAAATTTAAACACAGAAGTCATATAAGTGGAACCCCAATCCCCACCAAAAACAACCCCAAAACAAACGAAAAATGAAAAAACAAAACAAAACAAACAAAACAAAACAAAACAAAAAAAAACAAACAAAAAACAAACAAACCACTGAAACCAAGTGCCGAGAATGTGGAGAAATGACAGGTCCTTGTACATGCTGATGAAAATGAATGCTGCAAACACTGGTCCCGGGAGCAAGCAGCAAGAACCTGGGAAGGCTGAAGACAGGCTTTTGCCATTGAGCAGCTCCACCTCTGGAAGATAATCTGGGGGACTCAACCTATTTAATCAGATAGCTCAGAGCTGGTTCACACATGTGTCATTAGCATGTAGGAATACCAACAAACTGAGGCCATTTAATAAGACTATTCTGTGCATCAAGGTGGACAGGTTATAACTGAATCATTAGGGGAAAGCCTAGAGAAGATAGTATTGAGTAAAAAAAAAAAGTTGCAGAAAGACACACATAACTATGACTACTATATAGACACACACACACATCATAAACATGAAGATGAGTCACACAAACTACAGGTTAAAGGGGAAAATGGTGAAGAATGTTGGGAATAGACTAGGGCATTAAAGGGGGCTTCATGGGCTGGCAAGATGGTGACCTAGTTTGATGCTTGGAACCTGCATAACGGTGGAAGGAGAGAATTTACTTACAAAGCTGTTTCCTGACCTCCACATGTTCTGCAGTAATGCACACACACACACACCACAGCATACTCCTACAATAATAAACAAGCTTCAATTTCACCTGTAATTTTTAAAATTGTTTATTGTGGCAAAAAAATAAGAGTGGCTACACAGGAGTGCAGAGATGTATTGTTTTAGTAAAATTGTTATATCTCTACAGATTTTTTTAATATTTATTTATTTATTTTTTCAGATTTTTTTCTATATTTTAAATTCTTCCATTTGTTGGTATAATGTTCTTTTGGACCTCATGTTAGTACAATTTACCCTTGTTCATTCAAATGCTGATCTCTCTACCCCACTATCTGGTTTCAATCCAGACACTGCAATGCAATGCTTATCCTAAGCATCACCTATCTCAAGTTTGTGTAAACATGCCCCCATTTGTTCCCTATATTGTCAATTAACAACCAGCCCCAATGCTGTGCAATGGAGAGGATAGGGTGGGCCATCCTAGTCCGGGGGAAGGACAGGAAGCAGGGGGGAGGAGCAGAGAATCCGAAGGAGAGGTCTTGGAAACACGTGGAGAGATGGACCGGACCTAAGATACGACTAAAGGCAAGTATAATGTGTGAAATTTGAATGGTAGGAAACTATGCCGGCTTGGAGATTTAGGACGGAGTAACTATTGCCCAGCATTGTGCTCTAGGTTAATTAAATAAATCCTAGTCTCTGTGTGGTGATTTGGGTATACAGCTGGCTTAGGACTTACTACTGGGTAACTAAAAGATACGTCAATAGTAAATATTAATGCCAAAAACATTCATTAAACTGCTTAGTTTTCAGTTTTTAAAATATCTTCTTGAATTTCATTTATGATAGGGTGTCCAGAGCTGCGTGCCCCTGGATAACTGGGTTCTGGAGATGCCATATTGCTTTGGCTTTAGTTGTTTTTTTTACGCTGGCCTCTACCCATCGGGCTGTCTCAGGGGTTGGCTGTTAGTTTCTGGTGCCTCCTTGAATCCTGCGGTGGGGAGAATCCCTTGGGCAGGAAGATGATTTTTCCTGAAGGAGGCCTCCTCAGCTTTTTGTATATGCTCACGGAATTGCTTGTGCCACAGCTCACCTCAGGCGTATGGACTTGAGCGGTAACTGTGGTCGCTGGTAGTCAGGGGGCTCTCCTCTCACCAGGAGAAGTCCTGGAGACAGCTGCCCTGCTGCTGGGTTTCTTGCTCTGAATTTAGTGAGCAGCTGTTACTGTGTTTTCCGGACACAGCCCTCTTGAAGAAGCAGGGAGCCCCGTGGTTTGGTCAGTTTAGCTGGAGATAACTGGTTGCACCTTGGAGCAGTGTCTGGGGGCTGAGCCTATGGATCTCAGACTTCTGCAGGTCTGAGATTGGAGATCTGTGCCCCAGTCCCAAGCGGTCATGCGTGCAGCAGGAGGCTGGAGCCTGAAGCCTGCAGGGACCCTGTGGCACTTGCTTCTATAGAAGTGCATTAGAACCCTTGTGTAGCATGACATCAACATAAATCCTTAAGCCTTGTGTGTAGAGTAAGTCTCCTTATACATCCTTATGCTTCAAGAGCTCTTTGTGTTCCCTAAACTCTGGTTGAACCCAATAGATGAGACAGAACCCCCAATACAAGAGGGATGGTTGAGAAGCTGTGGCTTAACATATCACCACATCAGCACCGTCTTGCATCCTTTCCAGCTGTGTGCCTTAAGCCAGGCACTATGTGTCTCACACATTAACCCACTGAATCTTCCCCCAAAGACTTCAGATACATATTTCCATCTTCCAAATTATTTTTTCTTTTGCAGCTGAGACATAGGGAGGTTATATTGTGTGCCTCCCGATTTGGTTCACTGCAGTCTTGAGGATGGATGGTTACCTTTTCTTTTTTCCAAGGTCACACAGTCACTGCCAGATCTAGGTTCAAACAGTGGCAGCACAGTAACTTAACCCAAGACTAGAATGTCCACAGCTGGGGCTTGGGGAAGGCTCGGTGGGTCACGTGCTTGCTGTGCAAGCATGAAGACTGGAGATTGACTCCCAGCAAACACATCAGAGTGGAGGCACAGCTGTAACCCCAGTATCGGGAGACAAAGGGGGTTCCAGGGACGCACTGGCCAACCAGTCTACTGTTAAGTGCTGAACTCCAGGTTCAGGGAGGGACTTTGTCTCAAAAATAAGGTGGAGAGAAATAAAGACACCTGACATGGATGTCTGACCTCTACATGCATGCTCATTCTGTGTCTCTGTGCCTCATTCCCCCGCGTCCCCCCAAAAACTCCTAAAGGTTATGTGTAAGGAATCAAACCCCTGAATGTTAGGAGTAGATTTACTTGCATACTGATCATCCATAACTTAGCTCTTCTCTTTCTTAAGCTAAGGCGATATGGGCAGGAGGGAGAAGGCTGAAGGAACGGTTCTAAGGAGAACACAAGTCTGAAGCTATTTCCAGCCAGTGTTCTCAGACCTCCACTTCTGGGGGTGTACTCCGCTGCTACGGTGTATTCATTTGGCGAGATAGCTATGTGACCATTCAGGTCCTGGCTACACAGTTTCATACTAAGAATATGCTAAGGCAATTGACTATACTGTGTGTCAAATACATAGCTCTTGAAACTGTATGTTCTAGTAATTTCCCTAATCACATTCTCTTGTAAGGAGCAGTGTGATTTTGAATATATTGTTTTAATGAATTGTCCAGTGTTTAAAAAATGAACTGAAACTTGATTGACTGCATAATTTTAATATTTGAAAATGTCTGTACACAAATTAACTCAATACAATACAGATTTGTACAAAAGAATGACTTCTAAAAACTTATACAGAAAAAATAAATAATAGGTTTTTTAAAAAAGGACAAGACATTTTATAAATACTAATAAATAGTGTGCAATGCTTTAATTTACTATGGCAGATAGAAAACTCAAGAAATCATTAACAGGTTGTATATTTAAAAAGCTACATGAATCCTCTAACTGATGAAATTAAAATGTAACAGTAGTGGCTTGTACTTTTAAAATGAGGTATTATTACATTGTAAACCAAAACAGAGCATAAATATATGACCAAGTAATTAATGGTTATAAATTTCAACTTAATAAAAGACAACAAAAATTTCCATTATTTGTGGACTTTGTCATTTCAAATTTGGCTTGTGTACTTATAAAAGTGACATAGCTATCAATATACACACATCATTAGACATGCAGACTAAGCCAACACTATTTCCATGAGTCATCCTTAACAAAAACAAAACAAACACCTTTGCTTACGTTTGACTTAGACACTAACCCTGGCTTCGTATACATGACCCTTTGTGCTTGTTCATAGTCACCTTCATTAAACATCGCACCTTCTAGTTCAAGCAGTGCAAGAGAGAAGCAGTTTTATTTGCATATAGAGTAAAAGAATGCACAAACCAAACCAAAGGTGCCTTCACTGTCTTAGGCTTTCCGAGATTTTGAAGAAGAAATATCCTTTTAGCATACTCGGATGGAACAGCACTCATTTGCAGTCTCAAGCAGTGCAGGTAGGGGAGTTGGTCCTCTAACACGTGTGGGTGGGCCTCAGAACTGTGGGCAAGCTGATGAGTCCCTGCACCCTTCAATTCTGCTGGTTGGTGCAGGAAGCATAGCAACGGCAACAAGGAAATGCCTCGCTCGGGGAGGACTGGGGGAGGACTGGGGGAGGACTGGGGGAGGACTGGGGCCAGGTATTATTTGCATGTGGATCATATGCTGGTACTAAATGCTGGTTTCATTCTTATTGCAAATGTAACTTCAGAGTTTTCTGAAGAAAAGCTATCAAAGAGTAGGAGAAGTCTTGAGATGGAAATGTTTGCAACATGCTAATAAAACCGCTTCACTATAAATTAAAAGAAAAAAAAAACCCCTGGGGCTTAAAAATGCAGCGTTTACATGCTACTTTATTAGAAATAGAAACCAAGGGTGCTTTTGAATTTGCTATATTTAGAATCCAGTGAAATAAACATTTTAGCCAAAATGTCAAACTTCTTTTATACCAAGCTACATCATTTTGACGCAAACGTTTTTTTATTGTATTTCACTTTCGTCAAACATCTTATCCTACATTTTCTAAAAATTAGTGTATTCGCATAACTGGTGATCAAAAATGTAGATACAAGTTATACATCAAAATATATAAAATGGCAGTTTTTTTGTGCTTGTAATTATTTTCAGTAATCAATGACTAGTTCTGTCTAATTTGTTCTACTATCTTGGTTTTCAAGAAGAAACGACTATTATACAAACATTACAGAATACCCAAGTAACCAATTTAATGCCAGTGAGCATGCGGACTAACAATACTTAAAAGAATATAACCTTGAATCCAATTGGTCTGAAAATACTCTTGTACAATCATCTTTATTAATGTGTAAAAGCTGTACACACATCTAAAACCCTAAATTTACTTTGTAAAAATAAATCTCTAGCAATAAATGGCACTATCAAAATCCCATGATTCTTAGGCTGTTCTGTAGTTATTTATTTACATGCTTTTCAGCAACAGTTGAAAAGATCTTATAGAACCCCAAACCAATATATCAAAAGACCCTGTAAACTGCATTTGCAATTATACTGTGTTGTTTACCTTTGTAGGAAAATATGGCTACATGCTTTATGGTAAAGATAATGTAGCTCTCTGCTTTGCTACAGTGCGCTGCAAGCAAGCACACATCTGCCACTGGGCTCCATCATGTCAGAAATGCATTCTGTCCCGCTCTTGGCTTTCCCAGTGGGCACCGGTGACAAACTATGTATGGAAAACAAAACGCTATAAAAAAGAGCACTGGATTCAGACCTGTTTCAGCCATATGCTCTTTTCTTTAGTCAATAAATGTCTGATGTATTTTTAAAAATCATGCCTTCACTACACATATTTCATATTTGAGTAAAAAAATCTCATTATTTTAAAAGTGGTGAGCTTTGTGAAAGTGTTTTGGAACAGAAACATGAAAATGTTAAAGGCACAATAAGAGGGAAGTGAATGCTACATATAAAATACTGTATTTCAAGTCTTCTAGGTTACTCAAGTCCAAACCCTTCTGAATTTGAAATTCCAATGATCAGTTTCTGTTTCAGATCTTTTTTGCTCTTGTATGGAGGAAGGCAGAGTTGATTGAAGCAAGTGTGTGCCACAGGTAACCTAGAAAAAAATAAGTTTTTAAGGGATATTATGTCTTCAAACAGACACAAAATGACTAAGAAACTTGAAAAAGCACCACATATATAGTCAGATCTATTTTATTGTTATACGATGACTCATCTCTTCTTTATTGGACAAGTATTTATTGAGTACTTAAGTAGCAAGTGCCATTCTAAATAGCGGGACCATGTTTACACACAAGACAATCAATATGCCTGCCTTCATTAAACTCTAATTTGAAAAGCATTTTGTTTGGAGTCAGAAGATCTGAATTTAAAGACTGTTGCCCTCACTTACCAGCTGTGGGACTTTGTTTGAATTGCTCAATGTCTCTAAATCTGTTTCCTCATCCATATGGTAAACTATGCACTTAGAGTAAAAGGGTAAGACTGTGATCTACACAAAATACCTAGTAGACAGTATATTGTATAGCTCAGCCCTGGCTGTCAGAAAGTTAGGAAAAGCCATTTGGGGCCTGCTTTCAAAGCTGCTGTCCTCTCTGCACACAAAGCATTCAGTCTTTGAATCCTTCTGATCAGCTCTGCAGCATTCTACCTGATGACACTGCTGTCTCCATCCATGGTTTCTAGGGGCATCTCAGAGCCTTCTCTTCAGGTTTTACGAACTGTTCAACATCACAGTAGCATTCAGCAAAGTCAGTACGTAGAAGTGGAGAGTAAGCCAGAGAACACTTAGAATTCTGGATGATCAGAATTTATACTGCAAGACCACACAGAAAGACTTAAAAATACGAGGTCAGTCATCATTTATGGAGTCTGCATTACACTAAAACTAACATATGTTCTGATATGTATTGCTTCTCTTAAGCGCCAAAGCAACTTAAAAGTGGCTGTTACCCAAATTATATGGATGATGAAAAGTAGACATGGCAATATACAAATCAAATATTCAGAGCTACACAGCTGGAAAGGAGTAAACTTGAGTTTCACACCCAGAGCCGTTTGCTAAGATGTAAAGCATTGGTGCTCACGTTCAACACACCTATCTATCTTCAACAGTGTGTCTTACAGAAGGAATGAAAACTCTTAGCTCAGATGGAATACTGTCCTTGCCCTTTGGGGAACATTTTCACTGGACTGGATGGAAATGGCATGCATCTTTGACAGTCTAGAGTTGTTCTAGAGTCAGAACTAAGACATGTTTGCTCCTGCAATAATGCCTGAAGTAAAATAACTGGAGACATTTATATGCTGCTTCTGTACTAAGTTACTCATTTACCTTTTAAATCAATCATATTGTTGTTGCTATAAATATACCAAAACATTTCTGTTGAACAAGTAAATCTTCAAATGCAAAAACTTCTTTTGATATTTTTTATTCTAGGTCTTTAAATTACGACTCATACAGAAATGTCTTAGTTCTATGTAAATGCTCATTTATGGTTTAAAATGTAATTCCTTTCTTCATTTTTGTGTGTGGTCTATGCTCATGTGCACATGTGTGGTGGTGTACACATTCACATGTGTACATGGAGGCCAGAGCAAGACACTGGGTGTCTATGCTGTTACTCTGCCTTTATTTCATTGAAACATGGTCTCTGACTGAACCTAAAACTTTTCTTTGACTTGTGCTGGCAAGCCCCAGAGATTCTCATGCGCTCCCCCATCTTTACTCCAGCACAGGGGTTACAAGCTAATGTGGCCACACACATGACTTCTTATATGAGTGCCAGGGATCTAAATTCAGCTGTTTGTGCTTGACCACAGAACAATGTTCTGAGCCCCCAAGTATAAATTTGACATCAGCTTAAGTATTCATTCAAGAAACAGTTACCACATGTGTGCCTATAAAAAGAATAAACTATATAAGGCTTATTTTCCCTGTCTTGAAGAGATAAATGACTGTAATATAAGGTGGAACATGAAAAAAGAATTTATTGAGGGAATGATAACTTTTTGGTGTCACAGGAGCTGTCAACAGTAAAAAGGATCTTCATGGAGAGGCAGCAAGAACATGTCATATGAAAAACGAACAAATCAAAGGAGTGGAAGAAGGCAGGTGAGTGTGTTTTAAGGATGGAGCAAAATAGTGGGTGGGTAGAACAGAAACAATGGATTCTAGGAGTGGAACTTCTGAGGTTCAATAAAGCTACCAATTCCCCATGTGCCAAGGCTAGATCAGTATCATGGAAAAGGAATTGTATAGGAACTGGACAGGAAAAGAGGCCTTAGCTCAGCTAGGAATGAGGTAAAAAGGAACAGCACCAGCGTGTTCGCAACTGGGAAAGCACAGAACCAACTCAAGGTCTGAAATGAAAGGACTGAGACAGGATCTGAGAAATGTTCAATGTGTAAGCTGAAGGGCAAGGGTGATTATGATGAAAGTTGTGTGTACTTAAATTACTTTTTGAAGCCACAGAACTTTGGAATAGGAGTAAGGAAGAGCAGCATTAATTACCCACTAATACTATTAGAAAACTGTTTAAAGTCCTGGTCTTCATCACTTCATATGTGCAGAGAATGAGACTTAAAAGATAGCCAGTACCAGAAGTACAGAAAGTACCAATACAGGAGTTATTTACCTCTGTTCCGTGCACTAGCCCTAATTCCCTATGTTTCCTAATTATAAAATTATAAATTACAAAACGAGGGCTAGACAGCATGCTTCTACAAGGCAGGCTAGGTTCTAACAGACCACAAAGGAAATACTCGACAGGCATGTAAAGAGAGATGGAAGGGAAGCATCAGCAGGACTGGGATGTGTCAATGCTGCCAGGGGATTTCAGCCACAGTCTCTTCCATTTCAGGGTCACATTGACGCTGAAGAATTTACATGAAGATGACTTAAGACCGAAAGACTGTTTTGATTCTAAAGTTACTAATAAGTTATATATTAAACATAAAGTTAGCTGGGCAATGGTGGCACAGGCCTTTAATCCCAGCACTTGGGAGGCAAGGCAGGTGGAGCTCTGAGTTTGAGGCCAGGCTGGTCTACAGAGTGACTTTATAGGACAGTCAGGGCTACACAGAGAAACCCTGTCTTCAAAAAACCAACCCAACCCAACCCAACCCAATCCAACCCAACCCAACCCAACCCAACCCAACCAGCCAGCCAGCCAACCAAAGTTATAACCCAGACTTTACCAGTTAGTAGAAGTTTCATTTTTTGAAATCTTAAAGTTCAAATCAGCCATCCCTCCCACAGGTACTCTGTCACTTCCTGTAGTAAAATGTAGCAACTTCTTCTGAAGTTCAAGAGGAAATCCAAGCACAACATCCCAAAAGTATCTACAGAAGAAAATTCACACATGATGCAATCTTTAGAGATTCTAATAAAGTAAGCTGAGAAAATTTCTCTAATACAAAGGTGCTTGATAATAGTATAAAATAACATTTTATAACATTATTTAACTAATCTAACAATAAATGACATAAAACTCATTTTTTGCTCTTGAGTCCTATTTTTTTAACACAGTGCCAGTAAAATGCTATTTATAAATTTAGCATTTTTGGGAAAAAAGCTCTATACTTTGATAAAAAGTTATATAATTTCCTCCCAAGGGGATTTCTAAATGTGTTCATATTTTAGTACTCTTTTATTTTTAGCAATAAGTTAAGACAGGGTGGGCTGCCAAATATTTAACTTAAGCGATTGAAGAATCTAAGCTATCTAAACAAGCACGCCGCACTTTCTTCTCTTCTACCGACAGCGCCTGAAGACCAGGGAGCGTACCGTATAGTCGGGTCTGTCTTCGCATAGCCGTCATACTGAGTGCTCCTCTGCAGTGCATGCATATCCAATTCAGGACTGCCACAAACCAGAATTTCCACCTCTTCTGGACGAAGCAGCTGTCAACAGTCATAAAAACAATTAAAAATTACGATCCTAAATAAAATTTAAACTGTTTTCATTGAAGAATCAAATCATAGAAATTATGACTTTTTTGAAGAAAATGCTTCCCATTATATTTATATCTTATAACAATAATGAGTAGTTTGCTAGAAAACCAAGAAACAATGCAGTATGAACCAACTCATTCCTCTCCAGAATGAGCAGGGAGTAACAATGATTACGGATCCACCTGGCCTGCGGGGCCAGTGCCCTGGGCTCTGCAGAGCTGTGTGCTAAGTCTGGTTTGTGTGCCTCACTAGTTCCCACCTTTTGGTGAGTTCATGCTCATTTGTGATTAGATCTGAAAAGCAGTCATACTACGCCATTTAATTTTTATTTTCCCTTTCTCCATCCTCCTACTACCAGAGTCATAAAACTTAGTTACAGCTCAGCAGTACTTCTTTTTCTTTTTTTTTTGACCTATATTCTTTATGTTCTTTGATTCTTCAGAGGTTTTTTTTTTTTTATTAATTACACTTTATTCATTTTGTATCCCCCCATAAGCCCCTCCCTCCACCCCTCCCGATCCCACCCTCCCTCCCCTTTCTGCATGCATGCCACTCCCCAAGTCCACTGATAGGGGAGGTTCTCCTCTCCTTTCTGATCTTAGTCTTTCAGTTCTCATCAAAAGTGGCTGCATACTTCTTTTTCAAAGGTACTTTCAGCAAACATGTTACAAAGGCAAACCAGTGGTTCTCAACCTTCCTAATGCTGTGACCCTTTAATACAATTGTGGTTGATCAACTACAATTATTTTTGTTGCTACTTCATAACTGTAATTTTGCTAGTGTTATGAATTGTAATGATAATATCTGACACGCAGGGTATCTATATGTACCCCTGTGAAAGGGTTCAACCTTCAAAGGGGTCATAACCCACCAGTTGAGAAGCACTGCTCTAAAACAAGCCAGAGAGACAGCTACTTGCTTCTGTGCCAAAGAAACTTTGATAGTCCATTTCTTTCCTCTTTAAAAGCAATGCAGATGAAAGGTTACTTCAGTATGTCATGATAAAATAGGACATAGGAGAGGCATGATGGCATGTGTCTTGAAGGTGAACAACTCATAATATTTACAATATGGCATTTAAACTCCAGTTTACATGGCCAAGACAAGCCAAAGCACCCTGAGTCTACCATGCTTTTGAAGAGGAACTATACATGCAGGGCGCTAACAGGCTCTTGAGCGGGCAGGGAGCAGCTGCACAGCATGCTCCCACTTTTCTCCTGGAGCCTGCTGTGCTCTGCTCCAGAGTCAAGCTTTTAAAGCCCTAATTTAAGGCACAGCAGAAGAAAGATCTGAAATCATGTTTTTCTCTCTAGAGGAGAAAGGCTGAAAGAAGAGTACTACTGTTATTTCTAACTCTTTTAAAAGTAGAAAACATTCTCTACTTTTAAATGCTCATCTACCAAGATACTTAAGGAATTTTCTGTCATACTATTACAAAACCTAACTGAAAGCTTAAAAATTTAAACTCACCATTAGGGCATTTGAAGCACACACACTATGGAATCCACAGTAAAAGGCAGCAAATTGCTTATAGATAGATTTGTTCAAAAGGAAGTCAGTATAAAGCTGCACATACTCTGGAAAGCAATGTCACATCTGTTACACAGTCATAGTAAAGAAAATGTACTAATTCACTGCAATTAAAAATGGCATCTAACTTACCTCTTCTATTCTGATTGGTAACTGGAATCTTATCACCCCCTGGCTTTAAGTTATAGGATTTAATTATTCCAAATTCTTCTTGAAAAACCTGATGGGCGATACCATGATATGTTTATTGGTATTGTTGATGTACAAGGGGCTTTGGGGAGTAGATCTGTAGAAGAATAGTTCTGCCCCTCCCTTAAAACACACAACTGTCAATAGCCTAAACTTTTTGTGACTTTTAAGAAGAGCTGTCATTCTGATGTTAGAAAAAAATAAAATAAAAGGAGGTCCATAATCCTTCCTGTTAAACACAGTAAATACGTTAAAGAAGCCCACAAAACTTGTATAGCAAGTGGGAGAGGTGGAAATGAGTGTTTTGGTCTGATTCATTAGCTTCTCCTAAACTTCCTGTGTTGGAGCAATGTCAGAGGCTAACTTTTGGTAAAAGCCAGTCAGTCATGGAAATATGCAACTACCCAGGAAGAACCATGCCCCTGATGAGTTCATTTCCACATGCTTGCCTACACGTGTCTATGGCTCTATCTCTATTACGTTACTAGCCTTGATTCTTTTAAAATTATTAATAGGTTCTTGCTGTGCAGCCCAGGCTGGCCTCCACCTCACAATTCTTCTGCCCGAGCCTGCCTACACTCAGATTCGAGATCCTTCTCTTAAGAGTTTAGTAGCAAATGAGCGTTTCCTGTGTCAGACGTAGAGCTGACAAATGGTGGCGTGCGCTCATCAGTACCTGGAATGTTGAGTAGAAATCTTCTTCAACATTGCCTTCGTATGATAGGAGTTCCTTCAATCCGTGGGCCAATTCCTGTAAAACAAACCTGTGATCTGTCTTTACATTCAACTAGCCTTACTTCAAATTGTAAGCAGAGATTGTGGGTTCCTTACCTGTGAGAATAAGGAATAAACTCACATTTTAAAGCAAGTATTTGAGGTTTCTTTCTAAGACTCATGATACTTGCCAATGATTTTCAAGCCATCCATAGCTTGAAAAAAAATTAAAGTCCATGCAGGAGGGAATTTTACATTTTATACTACAGTGATCTAACTCCACAGGGCACTCTTAGCAAGCAAGTATTGTAGGTCCATTATGACTTCCTGGCTCTCTGCCACATTACCGTTTATAGATTTGTAGTTTTTCTCATTTTTAAATTTTATTTAGATTTTTTTAATGTTCTACTATTTTAGGATGCACTGTTTAAAATCAGACATATAGTTCACATGTGAAGGGGCTTATACATTTTAATTATCATAACTTCCTCTCCCAAGAAAAGCCTGAGCATGCTAAGAGAAACATTTTCTTACAAAAACTTAAAAGTAGAATTGGCTCAATATTTTATTTTTTTTAGCAAGCTTCAAGAAAATCACTCTTAACTTATATTAAATTTTCTGAAGAGGTAAGTAATGCCAGGGGTTGGAATAATCTCATATTCTTTACATAATAAATTTTCATCTCATTAAAAGCACAGGGATGAGGGCCCAAGATTTGGCAGGGTGGCAATGATCTTATCATGACTACTGTGATATGTGTACTACCCATGCCTACCATCTGTAAGACAGACACACTGCAGTGGCAGGAACACAAAGAGAATGTGAAAGTCTACCATCGGGAGGATGCAAGAGCAGGCCCATAGCCTGACTGACAAACAACAGCTGCATTTCAACAAGGAACAGTATCTCCAGCTCCATTCTCTGCTCCTTCTCCTGCAGGAGAAATGATCCTATCTCCCCGAAGTCTCCTGGGTACTCACCTTGTATGATACCTGCACCCCACATGGGAGGTCCTCCCACGATGCCAATGATGGGCCCTTCTCCTGGAATGTCGTCTGTGGAAGCTGCTCTTGGAATGAGGCCACCCATAGGAGGCCACATACCCGTGACAAGACCTCCTGCTTGCCCTATGATGGCGCCCACTAATCCCAGCATGGCTTGGCTGGACAGAGGGCAGCCAAGGGGCTCTTTATTCGTTTTCTATTACTTGTTCTGTTCTGCCAGAGGGTCATAGAGCTATGCTCAAGTGTTCTCTATGGCATAACAAGGAAGATTTCTTCCCGTTCCTACCAAAGAGAATAATCTTGGATGGGAGAAGTAGGGTAAAAAAAAAAAGTAGTTTTCACTTGTACTGTGAAATACGAAAATAAAATTGTCAGCCATTTTTTTAAAAGTGCATAATTTTATACAAATATAGGCTGGTAGAGGTTTAATATGCCTATCACCATTAAACAAGATTTATTTTAAATTATGTTTATTTGTGTTAAGTCTGTGTATGAGTATGTGCACATATGTGCTGGTGTCCGCAGAGGCCAGAGGGGTTGAATCTCCTTGAGCTGCAAGTACAGGCAGTTGTCAGCATCCTGATATGGGTACCAGGAACTGAACCTAGGTACTCTGACACAGCAGTCAAGTGTTGAGTGTTCTTAATTGGTAAGCCATCTTTTCAGCCCACCATTTGTTTTTAATTATCAATTTTAAAACATCCTATTATTCCCATAAGGACATTAAGGCCCAGAGAGGTTAAATAACTCACCCAAGTCAGTCTGGATTCTAATCAATGCCCATAAGACTTAAAAAATCCATTCTATTCTGCAAGAGCAAAATATGACTATCTCTGTAAGGAAGGGGCTAAAAGCAAGACAGAGTAGAGTTCTAAAAGGGAGCCCAATTTTAAAGTAAGACTAGCATTAGAAGACAGCAAGTAGAGAGGCACTTAGCATAACACGACTACAAGGTACTAACAACATACTTACAGGCATAATCTGGCACAAGTCGTCAATGGCAACACTGCAGATGCCTACTGGGGTAGTCTGATCAGTAGGTACGATGGGGGGGCTCAGCAATTTCTTGTAACAGCAGGGAGGAAAACGAATATCCAAAGTGATACTGTTATAAACAGCTAGTCCCATGAGCTATGCATACTAAATGTTAAGTATTAACATAAAAGACATGACAACAAATGAATTTTGAATTATGCATCAGCCGTCTTACATACTTCCTTCAGATCTAACACTGACTTTCTAATTAGTCCAACACACCTTCCCTCTTTCCTTCATTTCCTTTTATTTACATTCTATAATTCTTGATTAACAAAAGTCATGGGAAAAGGTGTTCATTTGATACAATTTAATGATTTAATGCATTCTTATAAATTATTATATAAAATTATTAAATTTAGGGAAGGATGTTGGTGGTTTTATAAGAAGTATCAAGAGTTTATTGACTGCAAAATGCAAGATTGATTTTAGAAATTGTCATAGCTATTTAAAGCTTAAAAAAGACTGTTAAAGGAGTTGGATGAATAAGCATATAGATGTACAAATACTGTTAATGAGGTAGTAGTGTAAGCTGATGCACATATAAACTTGAAGGGCTATAGTTCAGATAGCTTATTTACTTGTAAAATTTGTCTACTTACACAGTAGAATGTAACATACATTTGCTGAAGAGGGGGTTTAGATCATATTTCCTAATATTTAAAGGTCAATTATTCTGTTAAAGTTACTTAAAAAGTAATTCATTTTATAGATTCAAAAGGAAACCTAAACACACGGGTTTAGCAAATTGCTGAAAACTATTAAGAATACTGTCAATTGAATTGGCAAAGGCAAAATGAGGGCTGGTGATGTAAGGAGTACATAGTATTTTCTAAGTAACTGCACAGGCTGACCAGGTACTGCAAATATGCTCAAATATACTTACATGATCAGACAGTAGCAATGATGAGAATACTACTACGGCAGTATTATAATTCTTTACGATGATGAGAACGTCTAAATATGCTAAAATTCTAAAGGCATGATGTCCACAAGTAAGGAAGCAGGTTAACAGGCTTATGCTACAGAGCCTCTCACACAGAGATGCTTACTCTACACTAAATCAACCTGTTCTAGTTGAAACAAGGATGGTCTAAGTTTTCTGCCAGCGTCACTGAGTGCTTCGTGCGGAGGACAGTCTAAAAACCTGCACTGTACTATACTGTCTCTACTCAACTTCAGTATCTTTTGTTACAGGCAATTCTACTCTTAAAATATTACTCTATTAACGCTCTTGATGTAATCTTTATAACATTTTACCATTATTATTTTGTATTTTATTGATCTACTCCTTGGAAATACTAAGACATTGCCATATTAAAAAAATGTAATCAAATGTTAAACAATTGTGTCAGTTTAATTTTAGACACATTTGTTTAACATGAAATACACATATAAGCACATGCTTAGTATAATCTTTTAGGTACTGACTAAAACCATCAATATTATGAAAGAAGATGACTAACAATGCGTGGTTTTATGAATAACACCATTTCAAAAGCTTAACAGCTAACTTTATTAAAAATGTCAGGAAGTCAAACTATCACAACTCTTAGCTGTGACACAAGAACTATAAAGCAAGATAACCGTGTACATCAAAAATTCCAAATAGGTCAAAGTTAGTCGAAAGTACCAGAGAAGTTGGACACACTCGAGTGAGAACTGTAAATGACAGAAAAGCAGAAATCCATAATTTGCTCAGCCTTCTTGGATACTGTAGAATTTGGCACTCTGGACCTTAGATTTGACAATCTATAAAACATTTCAAATTGACTATCTCAATATGTAGTTTTGTTTCCTGCTACTTTTTCTTTCATTTACTCTTTCACATACATCTTCAGGATTTAATCACAACAAATGTAACACTGGCCTTCTATGGATGGATGCTCAGCATTTTCCCCAAGTCCCAGGGTGATTACTGCTTTGTGGCAAGTCAGTAACAACTCAGCCTTTCATTCCCCTCATCAATCTCTCAGGTAAAATTTCTGCCTTCTCTGGAAAGAATGTAACCCCACCTCTACTCTACTTTACAACCACACCACAGTTATTTTTATGTTAATCTTGGTTTTTAATGAAGTCCCAAACCCCTTAGTAGTTATTCTTAATTCCATGCTCCATAGTCATCTACCTGAGAATAAAGTATCCTCCACTGATGCTCATCTGTTTTTTTAAATGCTGAACTTCTCAAAATTAGGATTTTCCATCTTTTCCACATATCTCTAGCACTTGCTCGTCTTTTTATTCTTCCTTCATTTCCCACTGACAATTATATTTCTTATAACGTAAAAACTAGTGGACAAAGGCATTTTTGTCTAATATCTAACCTCTCTTTGCTCTACCAATATAAAAAAAAAGTTGTACAATACACCTGAGATAGACATGAGAGGATGGCAATTGGATTTGTAAAACTAGAAAGTTTGGAAAATCTTCTCTGTTGCACTCACTTTTCAAGTTTTTAGGATCATCTCCTTTATGTCTCAGGATTTCAGGGTATATTAAAAAGGCTAGATTTACTTCTTACAATTTCAATGTAGTAAATTGAGCACAAAATGCAAGAACCAAAAATATGTTACCACAAATGGAAAAAATTCTAAATTTTAAAAACTATTTAAATTTTTTTGATATCTAAATAATTATTTTGAGGTAAGAAAGACTTAAAACTCAACCATTTTATGTATTGAGACTATGGAAGTATGATATTACATATTATACAGATTAGGAAAATCTAATAAATTTGATGATGTTTAATTTTCTTTTTTCTCATTTATTTATTCACTTTATATCCTAATGGCGGCCACTCCCTTCTCTCCTCCCTCTCCCACCCTCCCACTCTCTTCCCCCATTCACTGCTCCCCTTCTCCTCAGAAAAGGAGAGCCCCCTTCATACCAATCTACCCCAACACAGCAAGTCACATCAGGACTAATGCATCCTCTTCCACTGAGGCCAGAGAAGGCAGCCCAGCTAGAGTAAAATGATCAAAAACAGGCAACAGAGTCCATGTCAGAGACAGCACCACTCCAATTGCTAGGGGCCCCACATGAAGACCAAGCTCCCATCAGCTACATCTGTGTAGAGGGCCTAGGTCCAGCCCATGCCTGCTCTTTGGTTGGTGCTTCAGTCTCTGAACCCCAATGGGCCTAGTTAGTTTACTCTGTTGGTCTTTTTATTCTCCCCACGGGAAAGATACTATAATGATACTATATTATACCCCTGATACTATAATGATACTGTTATGCTTGCAGGCAGGTATCTAGCATAATTCTCCTCTGAGACCTCCACCCAGCAGAGGGGATCAGAACAGATGCAGCGACCACAGCTAAACATTAGGTGGAGCTCAGGGAATCTTGTGGAAGAGTTGGGGTAATGTTTAATTTTCTCAAACAACATTTTTTGAAACTACAGAGAGGGAAAAAAAAAAAGGTCTTAAAAATCTCTAGTCTAGTAGCACCTCCTAGTGGAAAGTTTAAAGGATACAATTCCCACCAATCGGAATTCAGAATAATTATCACATTTAAAGCTGCTAAACCAATGGCAGTTCGAATCCTTGTGATAAGTAAACATGCCTGCAAAGAAGAAACACAATTTATCCACAAGAGGGAAAGCATTGGTAAAATACATATGATCTAGCAAAAGCAAATCACTCTAACACAGTTCTGTTTCAAACCATTTTTCACGCTAAAAATTTCATAGAACACATTTGCAAATCTCAGTAAAGTATACATAGAAGGCATTTTATTTTTTTGATATCCTTAAGCAGGGGATAAAATGTATAAATTAATCAGATAACTTCATAAAATACAGCTTATGAGAAAAATCAAATTTGAGTATTATCTACACAGTTTAATGTATCTTTGCCAACCCTGTCTCGTATCACCAGAACGATTTTAAACATGCATCTATGTTATCTATAATATGTATGCTATGAAAATATAGAAATTATCCTTAGAAGAAAAACAGTTAATAGATGCTAATAATTTTGTAGGCAATTTCTTTAAATAAAATATATAAAAATTGGAGATTTTGTCCTTAAAAAATTAACTTGTGAATTTCTATTTCTTTTTGTCTGTGGTTTATGTGTATATGCATGTTTGTGTGTAGCTGTGTGTTTACATGTTCATCTGTGTGTGGCTGCCACAGCCATTGTCAGGTGTCTTCCTCAGTCACAGTCTTTTGAAAGACTCTCCCACCGAGTCTGGAGCGCAGCAACCAAGCTAGCCTGGTTGCCAGCAAGCTCTAGGGATCTCTCTGTCTCTGTCTCCCCAGTGTGGGGGATTAAAGGATTAACCCAGTTCCTGGATTTTCACATGGCTGCCTGGGACCTAAATCGAGACCCTCATACTTGTATGGCCAACATGTCACTGACTAAACCATCTCCTGAAACCACAGACTTCTATTTCTTAAAATGACTCACTATTGAATGAAAGAAGCTTCACATACTAGTGTAGAAAAAAAAAATTATAGGCTTGCTTTTAAATTCTGAATGTTTTTTATGTATTTCAATGGCATACTTTCATGCATTGTGTTTATACAAAAGATATATGGCTATTTCTATACAAATTCTACATTTACTGCTGGTGAAAATGTCTGGGGTACTACTGAACTCTAACAAGTCTAGACACACAAAGGTCATAAACATTAAATACTCACCATAATCTGGATGGAAAATCTGGCGAATTAGAAGAAGAAACCATTCTTTAGTCAAGCCACCCATATCCAAACCAGCTTCACCCACAAATGTAACTTTCAACTTCTTCTTCAAGTCTGCTCTTTTCCGGGTTAACTATTTGAAGAAGTTATGTAGTAAGGGAGAACAAATGGCAGTAAAAAGAGAAATGTATTTATTTGTTTAATTTTGGGAGCAATATTAGGCAGACTTTGGCTTATTTTTACTTCCATAAGCATCCATCCATCCAATCTGCCACACACTATAAGCTAAGTGTTATTGTATTCATTTCATAGATTAGAAAAAAATTACGGGGTCAGATGCCTTGACAAAGGTTACTGCCCTCAAGAATCACAATGTATCCAAATTTTTAACTTAGTAGACCATAATATAAAGTGACTTTTTATGGCCCTTTCTCTTTCAACACTAAATAAAAGCCCACATAGATGAAGCGGCCACTATCTCATCTTAGCCACATGATGGTCTGACTGCAGCAGTGTACACAGGGCAAACTTTGCAACATACAGACATGAGTCAGTGTTTGTATAAATCTGAATAGGTCCTATATACCCTTACACGTCAGACCTGTAAGGTTATAGATGAGCAATCTGAGGTCTGGAGAATTTAAAATAACGTGTTATACACCTAACCAGAAAGAGATATGGGTCTAGAGTCCAGGTAGCATACCAAGAAACATGAATTATGCATTTAAGTATTTTACAGCAATCCCTCTGAGAAATTAACCAACTATTAATAAACATCAGAATATTAGAAAGCTTATACAAAATTTATCTTAACTATATCAAAATTTATGGAAGTATATATATTGGCACACAGAAAATAATAGCTTAATAAAATTTTAATAATAAGTCACATAGTTGAATTTATTTTAATCAACACCATTTTGGAATAAGTTATACCTCATCAAGTGAGTCGCTAACCAGATGTGTCCTCCTTACTTTCATATTTAGAAATAGCATATTCATGTCAGGTCTTTGTCTTCGAGATACTTTATCCACCAGACTTTGCTAATTAAATAAGAAAGCAAACACTGTTCACTTTTATTTAAACTATAATTTCATTTAAAACAATTAGTCAAAACTGCTTAATTCTTTTTTATGCTATCTCTCAAGTAAATAATTTCATAAATCACTTTATTTATATATTTTTACATACATTTTAGCTTGTGAATAATCTTATCATGACTTTATTTTGGAACAATGATAAGTCAGTGGGCACCAAAATCTTGATTAACTTTCATAGGGAGAAGGCTGCACTGCAATTTCCACAGGACTTGGACCTTCAATAGCAATGTTTTTTGTGCAATAAAAGGGGCACATTTAATCCAATGTATGTATTTCTAATGCTAAGCTCAGGCTTTAGCTATTTTAGATACTGAATTTATTCTAAAAGAACCATCTACTTCTAAAAAGTAAAAAAAAAAAATAGTGTGTCTACAAGTTCAAAGACATTCAGATCTTTTATTCTAATAGTTCTACTTTTGGGAATTTTAAAGATTAGAAAAAATTTTTATTCCATAAGATACTTGTAAAGCCATTATCCATAAAATCAAAGCTTAAAACTATCCTAAGTATATGAAGCTACTAAAAATGTATAGGAAAATTCTGTAAACAGTTCACACAGGGATTACAATTATACATATAACACTGCACTACCTCTGCTGATTTTAAAGATTAGCAAAATAAAATTTACCAAAATGTTAACAACAGATATGCTGAGTGATACAGATATAAAATATTTTAAAATACATTTTTAATGTTTCTTTGAAATATAAGCACTGTGTATATAAAAACCAACATATTAAAATGTATAAAAAATATGTCATTACACAAACTCAACATGCTTGTATATATACTTATCTAGATAATGATTATTAGACTATTTCCTTATTTTTGATGACAATGAAAATGAATTTTGTGCAAATAAGGATAAATATTTCAGACATCTGAAATAGGGTAATGTGCTATAACATAGTATCTCATGCCCCAAATCTACAGAGTTGGACACTACTTAAAATTTTGTAGATTATTGTAACAAGTGCCAATCCATAGCCTTCCAGGCCTCCAATCTCCAAGACTCTTTAGTAGCCTTTTGCTTTTCTGGGCCTGGTCTTACCATAGAAGTTTGTATTCCTGGACAGTGTCTATATAACTGATATTGTGTCTTACCCTTTCCTTCTTGTCTTCTGTTCCTGTTCTTGCCTCTAGGTAGCTGTCGCATGTCAACACTAAACACATTTACCCTGGATGCTAATGGAGACAAGCTTAGTGGTCCTTTTCATTGGAAATGTGTATTTGCCACAAGAATGCTCCACATAAAAGAGGCCAACAAAATTAGAATTTTAGACAGTCTTATGGAACTTACTTATTTATTTACTTAATTTTGCAATTTCAGATTATAGCATAAGCTGTGTCAAAAGTGGCATGGCAGTTAGGAGAACCTGTGAGAACTAACAGTGCCACTCAAGCATTCGTCTATTCCCTCCCTCCCCTGTTCTGTGAAAGCTTGTGTGCTGCTCTCCTTTCCAGGAGAATCATAGCACAGAATGGCACCTGATACCTCAAGCATGAGTGGCAGCACACTGCTAAAGAAATCTGGATAAACTAGTCCTATGTGCTTTATCTAAACTGTAACAAACCGCACAGTCACTGTGAAAAGAAAGCATTTTAGAAAGACACGTGATACAGAACCGCAACTAAGTCAAAATGTCAGGATGGCTAGCTTCACCGATTAACCTTTGTACCAGCATCTGGGGCTAAATATGACCATTTAATCGCATTCTTCAGGGGCAGTGTGGCTTTAGAATTCTCTTTGGAGCCAAAAGCAATAAAATTTCTTCTAATATTCTCATACTCAATGCAAGCTGATTTCAGGAACTTACTGGGCACTAAAACTTATGTCCTTCTCTGTGGCAAATAAAACAAACAAAAAAACAAAACCCAGGAACTGAACTGCTGAGGAATACACTATTCTTATTTTTATATTTTAAAATATCATCATTTATACTTCATTTTTACACTCTTGAACAAGACATGGGAATACTCTGTCTACTCTGCTGTTCTTTCTGTCTTAAGAAGGCTACAGCCATGCTTCTTTTTCACTTTAAAACTGAACATGATGTGACCTGGGAGGAGCCCAAGATGAGCAAGTGTGCAGAAGAGCAGTGTCAGCTCTTGCCTCCTGTGCTCTTTTCAGCAGTGGCAGGCAGAACTGACGCCCAGGGGAAAGCTTCACCTTGCTCCACAATTTTCCTAAAGTCTTCCCTACTTTCTGTGCCTTTACCATGTTCTGAGAAACATGGTAAACTGAGAAACTTTCTTTGAGCAAATTTCTTAGTTCTCTAAGACACATGCTTAGTGTTACATCATCTACTGTCTTGGTTGTTTCTGATTTTCATGAACTCCAGGGAATGTCGTAGCATGAGTGTGATTTGTATTATGGCCCCCTGGTCTCACAATGGTGTTCAGTGCTACTTCTCCAGCGTCCTAGAACAGGAGCTTTACACAAAGAGAAGTCCAACAAGCTCCTCAAAACTGGGTCTATCAGAAGCATTTCTGCTGCATTTATAATATACTGCGAAGCTGACTAGATACGGGCTGTTCTATCTCCCATATTGTGAACAGGGTTACCCTGTGGGGGTAATAACATGGACTATATTTTTAACATTTTCTGATTACACTAAAACAATCCACAAGACATTTCACTTATTCATTATTTACTATATTGATTACAGGCAGCATAAATATGTTTCATAGCTGGCTTACCCTTGCGATGCTTATCATCTGTTGTTCTGAGTCTCTTTGAATAATGATTTTTTTTGCAGCTATAGAAATAACGAATGGGTACTGACAGAAGGAAAACCTGCTAAATAAGTGAAAACAGAAAAAGCAAAATGGTGCATTTTTAGCAAAATTACACCAAGGGAATCTAAGGTACCCTCTTTGCAATATAAAACATTACTTTTGTATGGTGTTTTACCATTCACAAAAGATTTTATGTGCATGATTTCATTTCCACAAAACTATGAAAAAAATGTATTATTCCTAGAAGTGCAATGTCTTAAACGCTTTAGGAAACCACAGCTAATTTTCTAAATATGTGCTGGTCACTTACATCGTTTACACAAATCATTTCCATTTTCACCTATGAAAACATGGCTAACAGTAGGACCAGGAGGCAAAAGTGTTGATGGTGAGAAACAGGACAGAATATTTACATGTTCAAATGAATATACAATTTATCATTCAAGGATGATTTCTTATGTGTGAGCATCAGAAATGGAGAAACATAGTGATAACTAAAGCATACAAAAAGCAGTCTTAAGTTTGAGAATATTATAATAAAAATAGAAAAATGAAAAATACAAAGCATATGTACTTATAAAGAGATAACATTGTTATCAAAGTGTATGGAAATAACTGTCTCCTAGATCAGAGCTAAGTCTTATACTGTATGTGAAAGCCACAAACTACATAGACATGAATGCATATGGCAAGAATGCAGACAGCAGCACTGACACTTGGAGAGTTGAGACTCCCATCACAAGTGGCTGCAGCTTGGGTGGGTATATCTCCGTGGACGTAACTGCAACAAATCCATCAGTTTTAGTGTACTCCATCTGAAGACAGTCAGTGGGATATCTGTGGCCACTTGCTGCAAAGCAGACACTATGTGAAAGAAGAGGCAGCCCTGTGTACTGAGCATTAGACAGCCGTTACTCTGGTTCAGAGCTGACAATATCGCTTGTTCACTACTAGTACGTAACGAGTCAGTAAAACTAACTAAAAGTTTGGAAATAAAAGAAAATGCAACAAGCTTAAGAGAATATATGTTGGTTTCATTATACACTTTAAAACAGTGCTTCTCAACCTTTGCCATTTTGGTTTCATAAAAAATACATAAAAATGCTATGTGCATCAAGTACCCAGATAAACACCCCAGGGTCAGTAGAGGCTCGCCCTTTGGCCCAAATGCAGTTTCAGATTACATTGCCTGCCAGTGATCAGTGGCAGCCTCTATGGCGTGCACTGCTGGTGTAAGTGCTGGAACAAGCTCATAGGAAAAGTTGACAACGAAGTGGTCAAACTCTTAGCTGCTTGACGACTCCACTTACATTAAAATGGGAAGGTGAGTATCTTTGTCAAAGAAGCTCTACCAGGAAAGTATTTCTCAGGCTGACTACTACAGTCTTTAGAAGACACTGTTTTCAATTTTGATTGTTCGTGTGTGCACTGGGATTTGATCATTTTAGGTCAATTCTGGCAGAATCCCTTGAAAGTTTAACCAATCCATGTGTTTACCTGGGCTCTCTGGGTTATTTATATCTGTATTTACATCTCCCCGTCTCCAGAAGAAAAAAAGACATCTCCTGGATAATTCATGTGTGGGAAACAAATTATGTTTGGGATAGACTTGATAATTTAATCCAAAGTAGAAATGTGGATAAAAAGTATAGTACATTATACACTATAATACATTAAAGAATTTTGCCAAGCATTTTGAAAATCTGTTACACTGAATAAATTGTGAAGCTCTTTTCTCTGAAATATCAATTCCCTTTTCTATGAACAATTCACAATCACTTTTTGATGCGTATTAGGGGAGAGGAACAAATGTGTATTAAGTAGCCATATGTGTGTGATCAATGAATTAGATAAAGTACTGGTACACTATAGTCTCCAAGACAAGATAGCTTATTACCACTTTTTGTAAATAAAGAAATTTGGAACATTCAGTCATTCGTTTATGTATTGTCTAATGATTTTTATGCTAAAACAGCAATATGAATTATTCACAGAACTGAAAATATTTTCTAATCCTTTAGAGAAAAAAAAAGTTGCCCCTTGTGGTGTGATGACAGCACATAGAATACTAAGTAAGCTCTAAGAAACCTTATACCTAGGGAAGAACCTCACTGTTCTTCAAATGATGCTATTAATTAAAACAAAACTTAACATATGCATAAACTTAAAAATGTAGCAAAAGTAAAACCTCTTGATAGACACAATGACATTTAAAGCTACATATTTAAATGATACATGCTTATATATAAAGAAATTATATACACATTATTTATACAAATTTAAAATCCAGTAATTATTTTAAATTGCATTTTGTTAGGTAAATAATTAGATGAGCTATTGAACATACCTGTGAGAATTTCCAAAGCTCTGCCAAGTATGATACTCTTCCATGAGATTAATGTGATCCAAGGTAGAATTATAGAAATCAGTGTAAGGAATAAGGGGAGGATGAACCAAATTGTTGGCAGTATCTGTGAAGATAAAGTCTCATATAGTGCTCTTTCCCAGCATGTACATGATTCACTTTAATAATAAACACATTATTTTAGTATCTACTACTGGCTGTCCTTCACTTAAACTCTGGTTTAAAATAACTGCAGTTCCAATGAAAAGGCCATTTTGCAACTATTTCTTAGTTTTAAAAAAATGTGATGAGGATCATAAAAATATTTAAGGGGGTGCAGACCGTCGTCTACTCATCATTTTCCACCAGTGTTGTCTCATGTAAGATTCCTCAGTAGTTAGTGGAGCTCATGTTCTATCAAGAATTTATACTTAGCAAATCACACACACTTAAGACTACGGTACTACAAAGCTTTCCCCAGCTTTATAAAACACTTATCATTCAAAAAATTTATGTATTATAAAATTCATAAACAAAATAAAACGACTTTTTTTTTCCCTTCAAAATAATGGTTTAACAGTTATGGCCAACTCTCTAGTACTCAGAGATCCCTGGGGGATGTCTCTAGTTATCAAGAGAAAAGTAAGGGAATAATCAAAACCTACTAAGCAAAGCCAGAACTTTAGAGGCTGATGGAATCCACCAGGTACACTTCGTTAGAGGAGGGAATTCTTCAGGTTTTGCTGGAAACAGGCGTAAGGAAACAAACTGCAACAATCTCTCTACCAGTTGCTTGAATTTCTTCTGGGATAATCTAGTATAGATTTTGAGATAATTCCAATCAAAATTTTTCATTTCTTATTTTGTCAATATATTTGTCAGAGCTCAAACTACATCCAATAAACATAAAATAGACTATTTTTATTTAAACTACACTTACTAAGCTGACAACAGAAGACATAAAATCCTACCATGAATACTGTTTCTCAAATAAAAAGTAAACACCAGAATTACGATAGTGTCACCAATATAATTTTTAAGGCTTTCAGTATTTGGTCAGTTTCACTATTCACAGATGCTGCTCTGGAACACCAACCTGCATGCTAAAATGTATTCCTTACTCCGCAGGTCAGCACTGTGCTTTCGTGGCCCTATCTGTGGACATAAAACAATGCTGGGAGCCCTGAGTTGTCCTGCGTGCATGAATGAGAGTCAGCAAGGCAGTGTTTTAACGTTTGTTTCGTCCCACACTGCCTTTCTACAGGGCCTTTCTACAGTCTAATAACACGTTTTCGTACGTTTATGCTTTTGGAGTGATTCCGTTATTTCACAATGGCCCTCCAGCAGGCACGCAGTGCACACCTGTAATCCCTGTAACTGGGAGGCTGAGACGGGAGGGTTCTGAGTTAAAGGTCCATTGGGATACACGGTAAGTTCCAGGCCCGACTGAGGTACGAGTTCAGCCTGTCTCAAAAACCAAAAGCAAAACTAAAAATCCTAAATAAGCACTTAATAATTAAGTGCTGGTTGGATCCAATGAAGAAGAAGAAGAATGTGATGCTGTACAATGAACAAGAAGGATGTGGTGTGTTGTACAAAGAAAATGTGTGCTATAGCTATACTGGCATGGCTTATGGTGTGACCGCCGTGATCTCAATTCAGCCAGTCCACTTACATGGAGTAAAGCATCAAATCCAAGCAGTTCTAAAGTGGATGCTTGCTGAGCCGACAGGACTGTGATCAGAGGCTCCTAGTAAGGCCCCTGCACAAAGACTCAGTGAGGTATGCTGGTTCATCAGGACTGTTGGGGACTCTTGTCAGCACAGCTAGTGCGAATAATGAGAACTGACAGTACTTAAATTTTATTCTGAAAATATTTTGCCCTTTTAGTTTTTTACCATCATTGAGAATTGTCACTTAATTGTAAAGATAGTCCTGAGGGGAAGAAGTAATGTGCTTTTGTAATCTGGTATTTTTAATAAGGCAAGTCATATATATATTAAGACATGCTAATAACAGAGGAAATTAAAAGATACACAATAAAACAATAGCTGAGCAAATTCATTTGAGATGTATAAAAAACAGAAATGTGCTATATAAAACTGCAAGTGGTGGATTTTCAACAATTTTCACAAAAATATAGCTACTCAGATTAAAAATAGATTTTTATGTTTCTTTTATGTATTGCTAAAGTATACATTTTATAACTGGCTTTTGAAGCATTTCAAAGTATAAACATCATTCCTAAAAAATCTTCAAAACATTCAAATATTGTAAAGGTTTACAAAAGTCTATCATAAAATTAATAATATTACATGTAAAACTGAGAGACTATAAAAGTTCTTGTTTACGTTTTAAGCCAGTGAACTAGGAAATGATGGTCAGCTTCCACTAAGGTAGCTATCTGTCGTAGCAAATGAGCATAGATGACATATGTAGATGTGCTATTAAATTGAGGATTCTGAAAAAGATATTAAAGATAACTGTTAAATTGTGTTAACAAGGAAAACCACAAAGCTTAATGAGTTTTAAGCAGCAAATTCAGGAAGCTACATTTGAGTTTGTGCAGTTCTTTAAAAACAATCAACTTGTTATTTATTTAAGCGAGACTGGCTTTTGATACAGCACAATGCACAAGTTTTGGAATTATGACAGATCTGCAGCTGAGGCTTGGTCCTATCACAAATTAGCTGTGTGCCCCATTAAGCATCATTATAAAACTTTAATTCTCAATTTCCTCAGCTGTAAGATGGAAATAATATCTATTCAGGAGTTGTTTTGAGTTTTAAAAAAGAAAACATATACAAAGCACCTAGTTGCATCTTTCATAAATGTTGGCAACCACTATTGTCCAATTAAATAGCAACAAAATGTGTGTTTTCTTGATTAAAAAAAAAAAAACAAACAAAAAAAAACAAAAGAAAAACCAGGTAAATGCTAGTTGTAAAATGTTTGCACTGGGAAATGAGCTTCCTGCATCACAAAGAATAAGCATGTGCTCTGACAACTTTTAAACGTTACAGGCCTGAAAGAATGCTTGTAAACTAAGCAACCCACATTTATCTTTCAAAGGCTGAAGTTCTATGACATTTCAGATATTTCTGTAAGCCACTGCTATAAACAGTCAGATGCCGGCTGGAGGTGGCTGGGTGGTTTGGGGCACCTGCTGCCCCTCCAGAGGACCTGAGTTTGGTTCTGGCACCCACAAATGTGTGCGGAGTTAGCTCCAGGGCATTTGATTACTCTTCATGGGTAGAAGATAGCTCATGTATAGCTTTCACATAGACACACAAATAAAAAGTAAAAATAAGTAAAAAAAATCAGCCCAATTGTGATTTATAAAACAAAAACACTGTTTTCAAAACTGACAGACAGGAGTGAAATAGGGCGCCCATACCCACCCAGGAACAGCTCTGGGAAAGGTGCGGTGTGAGCAGAACCTAGAGCTGACTAACAGTCTTCTTCCAGAGCTGAGCTTCATGGCATCATTTTATAGCTTTTCTCTCCTTTTTTTTCTTTTTGATGCTTTCCTCATTTGTTTCCTTTATCTTTTTTTTTTTTTTTTTGGTTGTTTCTTTGCTTCCCACATTTCTTTTATTTGCGTATGATACTGATAATATCATAATAGTAAACTGAACACTGTAGCTTAATATTTTTACCTTCAAATGAGTTAATATACCTGGGCAACTTGGTAAATTATAAAAAATGATACAAATGTAGTGTGTTAACTAACATAATATATTTTTTCAAAAATAATTAAAAATACAAATTTGCTTTTACTTAACACCTCAATGTGTTTTTATATTTTTGAATCCATATCTCTCTCATGAGGAAGCAAGTAGTTTTGCTTTATAACAAATATCTTTTTGTTTCTATCATAATTCTAATGAAAAATAGAGACAAATTAGAAACCTAGAAATTCTCTAGCCTATCCCAGTTAATTCAAAGGAAACAGTCTGAGGGGAGAGGGAAGAACATCCATTCCATTTGTTCCCAGACACTGTGGAAGAAAGGTAAGAATGCACTTGTAATTTCTCCCCTCAAATAATTTAGCTTCTGAGTGTTTGTTACAATGTTAGTCTTTGGATTATAAGTAACAATAATTCTAAAGATTATTAATCCTATTGTCAAGTAATAGTTATCTGATAACATTTAATTTGCATGTGCATACTGACATGAATTCACTAATTCTCACTTACCTGTAACAGGATAAAATACGCTCTAAGATCATCTTTTGTTCGTGGGCTGAAAAAGAAAAATAAATGCTTACAGATGAGTGCTTAATTTCATACTATCTAATAAAACATGACCATTACATGTGCTTGTAAGAACTGAGAAGCCAAAATGAATTTAAATTTACATGCATTATTTTTATTGAGATACAAACAAGCCTCTAGTATGCTGGGAAAATAGTAGGCTGGTTCTGAGTACCACTTAAAGAGCAAGTTACAGGGGAAAGCTGTAGCATTTTAAAGTAAATTTCAGACTAACTATGAAAATCCTTAAAAGTCTATAACCAGCTGTTTAAAAATACTTACATTTTGTTTCAACATGGATTATTTTTACTTAATATTTATTTATGCATCAAAGAAACAAAATGTGCCTCTGCTTACAGTCCATAACTGAAGCGACAGAAATGCCTATAAGCTGGCAACAAGTCAGTTGACAGTGGATCACACCTCCCCGTCCTCCATATCCAACCCCTCCAGAATCATCCCCAGCTCTGTAGTGGGAAACCTGCTGCATCTCCCTTTCCTCTCTGGCCCCACCTGCAACTGATCACAATCTTCTCCAACCTTCCTTCCTCTAACTCATGCCATTTTCTGAGCCTCTACCACCAGCAGGGAACAGGCCAGAGAAACAGGTCCACAGAAAATTTCCTCTAGGCAGCACACAGCAGCCACACTCTGAAAATCCGAAGAAGAAACAGGAACCAAGAAACAAAACACACACTCAACAAAGATAAATCCAGAAACAGCACCAACGCCAGTGGTACTTGTTCTCAACCTGTGGGTCATGACCCCCATGGGGTTGCATATCAGATATTCTGCATATCACATATTGACATTATGAGTCATAATAGCATCAGAATAATAGTTATGAAGTAGCAACAAAAAGAATTTTATGGTTTGGGGTCACCACAATATGAGTAACTATCTTGAGGGATCAAAGCATTAGGAAGACTGAGAACCACTGACCTAGACCTACAATCATCCCAATTCCAGATGCCTAGATGCCAATGTAAAAATGCCACCAATAACAGCCAGGGCAGTGTGTCTCCACTGGAGCCCTACTCTTCTACTTCAGCAGGCCCTGAATATTTCCACATAGCTCAAGTAACAAACAAACAAACAGGCCTTAGAACCCCTCATATGGAGATGATAGAGGTCCTTAAGAGGGAATTAATAAATCCCTTACAGAAATCTGGGGAAACACAAAGTGTGTGAGGAAAGGATTTAGGTCCCCTAATGAAATCTATAAAAACACAAATAGTGGAAAGAAATGAATAAAACTGTTCAATGTCTGAAAATGGAAATAGAATCAAAAAAGAAAATCCCAACTGAGAGAATTCTGGAAATGAAAAAATTTAGGAATCCAGAGGCAAGCTTTACCAACAGGATATAAAAGATGGAAGAAAGAATCTCAAGCACTGAAGATATGACAGAAATGAATATACCAGTCAAAGAAAATGTTAAATATAAGCCACTTCTGATATAAAACTTGCAGGAAATCTAGATACTATGAAAAGACTAAATCTAAGAATAATAGAAATAGAGAAAGGGAAAGAATCCCAGCTCAAAGGCCCAGAAAATGTTTAAAAAAATAGAAGAAAAATTTCCTAACATAAAGGAGATATCCATAAAAGTACAAGAAAGATATAGAACACCAAATAGATTGGACCAGAAAATAAAGTCCTCTTAGCACATAATAATCAAAACATGAAATGTACAGAAAAAGGAAGAATATTAAAAGATGGAAGGGGGAAAAGAACAAGTAACATACAAGGCAGAACTATTAGAATCGCACCTGCCTTCTAATGGAGACTCTAAAAACCAGAAGGTCCTGGACAGATGTGCTACAGACTTTAAGAGACCACATGTGTCAGCCCAGACTACTATATCTAGAAAAACTCTCAAATCACCATACATGGAGAAAATAAGATATTACATTAAAAAGAAAACATTTTAAATAGTACCTATCTACAAATTCAGCCCTGCAGAGGGTGCTAAAAGAAAATTCCAACCTACAAAAATTAACTACAACCATGAAAACATGGGGAATAAATAATCACAGACAACCAAAATCAAAGGAAGGGACACACACACACACACACACACACACACACCCCCACACACACCCCCCACCATCACCACCACCAAAAACAAAATAATAGGAATCAACATTCATTGATCAATGATATCTCTCAATGTCAATGGTCACAATTCCCCCAATAAAAAGATAGACTAAGAGAACGGATGAAAAAACAGGATAGACCCTTTTGCTGCATCAAAGAAACACACCTGGACATCAAAGATAGACCTTACCTAAGGGTAAAGAGTTGAAAAAAGATAGTCTAAGCAAATGGACCTAAGAAACAAGTTAGTGTACACATTTTAATATCAAACAAAACAGACTTCAGACCAAAACTAATAAGAAAAGATAGGGAAGGACATTACATACTCATCAAAAGAAAATCCACCAGAAAACTCCTACAGCTAATAAACACTTTCAGCAAAGTAACTGGAGAGAAAATTGACAGACAAAAATCAGTAGTCCTCCTATACACAAATGACAGCCTGAAAAAGAAATCACAGAAACAACACCTTTCACAAAGAGCCTCAAATAATATACCTTGATGTAATATATATAACCAAGCAAGTGAAAGATATGATATGATGTATGATAAAAAAATTCAAGTCTTTGAAGAAACAAATTGAAGAAGATATTAGAAGATGGAAAGATCTCTCATGCTCATGGATTGGTAGATTAATTAAATCTTAAATTAAATCATTCTGTAGATTTAATGCAATCTCCATCAAAATTCCAATACAATTCTTCACAGATCTTGAAAGGACAGTTCTTCACCTCATATGAAAACACACACAAACACACACACACACACACACACACACACACACACACACACACCAGTATAGTTAAAACAATCCTGAACAATAAAAGAACTATTGGAGTTCTCACCATTCCATTCTCATCTCAAGTTATAATACAAAGCTATAGTAAGTAATAAAAACAGACATTGATCAGAGGAATTTAATTGAAGACCCAGGCATAAACCCACATACCTATGGACACCTGATATTTGATAAAGAAGCCAGAAATATACACTGGTAAAAAAAAAATGGTGCTGGTCAAATTGAAGAGCTGGATGTAGAATAATGGAAAAAGATACATATCACCCTGCACCAAACTCAACTCCAAATGAGTCATAAGACATCCACATAAAATCAGGTTCACTAAACAGCTTTGTTTCAAGCATTCTATAATGTCTTTCTGATCCATGTCATTAAGAAAACTCATATAAGATACTTCCAAAGAGTAAACCATACTCACATACATTAAAGATACATGAAACACATATCCAAGTAATTGATACATATTAAATACCAGTTATAATTACCCTTTAAATTCTTGTAACAGGCTGTTAATGATTCCCTTCAATACTGACTTCTGAATATCTTGAGGCTGGAGGCAAAAGAAAATAATAAGATATAATAATTATTAGGATATTTCGTGATTTGATGTTAATTTTATTTACAGATCAATCTGAACAGTTACAAGCAGACTTATGAAGTAGCAATGAAAACAATTTTATGGTTGGCAGTCACCAGAACATTAGGCCCTGGATTAAAGGGCAGCAGTATTAGGGGGTTGAGAACCACTGGGATAGACCAATAGCTCTCTTAAGCACACATGTAAAACACTCAACAAAATATTAGCAGATTGAGCCCAAAACATATAAAAAGAATTATACATTATAGTCATGTAGGATTTATTCCAACTTTTCAAGGATGGTTTGACCTCTGAAAATAAATGTATATAATTAATCACAGTAACAAGCTAAAGAAATTTCTTAATTTCTACTAAAGACCTACTGATTCTGAGACTGTGCTAATGAGCACTTCCTATGACTGATTCAAAACTAATTTCTGAGAATCACTCAAGTCACTGCATTGAGTAAGTGAAACAGGATTTTTCAAAGTCTTTCTAAATACAGATTATATACAGAAATATTTTGTTTATTCTCAGATAATTAGAAAAATGATGACCTAACTTTCTGAAAATTCCAATTCTATTGATCATAAAATTATGTCAGTTTTCTAGCATAATTATGTTACAAAGTGGCTGCATTTGAAGTGGAGTAGTTGGAGAGACGGTTCAGTGGTCAAAAGCACTTTCTCTTCTTCCAGAAGACCCGAATTCAGTTCCTAGCACCCATACAGGAAGCTCACAACCACCTGTATGCAATTCCAGCTCCAGGGACCAGGTCTCCTCTTCTGTTTCTGTGGGTACCTTATATAATTAGCATGCATTCACACAAACATAGAGTAAATGAAATATTAAAATAAATCCTTTTTTAAATGAAAGAGTTGTGCAATGAAGAAAAGACAGAGAATTATACTCCTGAAATATATCCATAAACATTACTTACAGTATTAAGTAAGGCATCAAATACAGCATTCACGAAATTAGCATTAACCCCAGGGTCCTCAATGGTATTAAATGAGGCTGTGGCATCTTTCTGCAAATTCAATTAAAGAATTATGTACATTTAATATTTCATGGATTATTCTTAAAAATATCTGAATTATACTTTCTTATATTCTCAACTAATCTTGTCTGATTACCAAAAAAATTAAGGCTATTACTGAAAATAAAAATTGACATATAGGAAATAAAAACATATGGCTTTAATAACTTTTTAAAAAATTAAAGAAATCAAACATTAATAGTGAAATAAATACAATATTTACTGAATCAAAAATAATATTTTGATACATATTTATCAAATGTATACAATATTATCAAATATTTATCAAATCAATACATATTTGATACATACATACATACATACAAATGCATATACTATTTAAACCAATGCTGGCTATAAAATGGAGTCTCATCTTTTATTTAAAATTATAAGTGAATGAAAAGTATCTTTTATGTATTATTTATTACCTTAAATGCAGTATTTAATTCTGAGAACGAATCAAATGCTGTTATATAAAAAGCATGTACTGTTTTCCAATTTCCTGTTGACTCAGCTTTTTCTAATTCTTCCCTAAAAATCAAACAAAATCATATATTAACCATAAGTGGAAACATCATTTAAACAGCATTTCTTTTAAAAAAAATGAATGCCATGCTAAACATATCATTTTAATACTGAAAACAACATAAATCTGTTGTAATTGATACAAAACCAGCATATAAACATAGAGTTCTTAATTACATTAAAATATTAGTTCAGCTTCAACTTCTCCCACATACCCAATTCTGACTCAGATTCTCTTGGTGTTTGCTTTCTTTTGCTGCAACATAGCCACTACCCATTACTCACACATTTACTTATATTTTCAACTTGAGATATCTTGTCCTTTGCATCTTTGCTTTTGTCTAATATCTTATAAGACTCCATAAGTTCAGTTAATTTTTCAGGCAAAGACATTAAGCTATGTAAAGCGCTGACATGCAGATGCTATCAGTCTACACAGAAGAGTGAGTTAGAACTTACGCAAAGTCTTTTACAGTCTTGGGCTGGCTGGAAGGAGTAGGTTCTGGAAGGGCTGAGACCTTCACTTCAGATGATAATGCATCTATAGACATGCGCTGTTTTTGTCTAACATCAAGACAAACCGGTGGTAGGTCTCTCACTGTGAAGTGTTAAGAAAATTCCATGTAATGAATCAAAGCTTTTCCAAATTAGAAAATATCAGGGTAATTCAACATGAACAGAAATGATTTCTTATGTTTAGAAACTTTTATTAGCAGGGAGGGATATTTTAGCAGAAAAGAAATAAACTCCAGTCTTGTTACAATAATCTTTTTGGCTCTTCCAGCTTTTCTCATTCTTCACTAGGTGTGGAGAGCCGCTTTTTTGGTCAGGATGCTTTGTTATTGAGTTCTCAACATGTTTTCACCCTGGCTTTCACCTGGAGACAGGGATTATAGACAGGATGTTTTTGTCAAGTTCACTTCCTTTTGTTTGTGTGAGGATCACACAGACAGGTGGTGGAAAGGTTAACAAGTTTGAGTTCTCGTGAACCCCTTCTTTGTATCAAGGTGCTTTGCTCTGACTATAAAAAGGGACTGTGCAATAAACTGGTGCCTAGTTTCTACTGGAAGCCTTCTTGAACAGATCCCATGTGCAGTGTGTTGGTTTTTTAAATTTTCTTTCAATCCTCACTCAGAAATTGTTTGTCTCTGTTGGTGGGCTCCAGCAACTAGACTTATCCTTTCCTATCCCTGCCCATACACTTTCCCCAACCTGGCTATAACCACCCACTATTAAACACAAACAGACTCATTCAAATATAAATCAAACTTATTCATAAACTAAGCTTGTCTGAGTGTACATTTTTATACCCACTCACTTTTATTAATACCATACTGAGGTAGAACAGTGAAATTTGAGTTAGTAAAAGAACTTGATTTTGGCAGAGCCCAAGAGTGGGTTTGTCTTATATAAGACAAACAGTAATGCCAAGACCAGGACTGTCCAGTGAGGTAGCACCAGAGGCCAACAGCAGGTTCCATTTTCAGTTCCAAAGGTAGGTTGACTTAAGAGAACTACAGAATGTTAACATGCATATTAATGAAATCCAAGTCTGAAAGAAGAGCTGAATCCATTGCTCATATCAGTGAATGGAAGCCAAATTACAGGATGTGACATTCAGCTATTAAGGGAAGAAAAATAACAGCTCACAGCTGCTCTTATGTCCCTAAATATCAAGGCATTGTTTCTAGAGATAGGTTTTCTGCCTTTTGCCACAGATGGTTTTTATTAAAGTTTAATTCAAAAGAGAAAACCAATAACTATGGTGATTAATTAAACCTTATGTCGGTATCATAAACAGAACAGGAAAATTTTCATTCTGACATATGCAACTCTGCAATATATAAGGATACTGTAATATAGTAAAAAAAAAAAAAAAAGCAAAAATACACTTGTGAAAACCTGCCATTTAAATTTCATTCAGCCAATACTTGAGAACACTCCATGCTAAATTGATAAACAGTAATAATTTTCCTTCCTTTTAATAAACTGCTGCCAATTTTAGTTGGTTGCTTAGAAACATTAAGTAAAACACGTGAAGCCAATGCAAAAAGAATACAACTGAGATGAGGGCTGGTAGTATATTAACGCATGCAGGTTGTAATAGTTATGCATAAGGGTGTGAGATTATTAGCACCATTTTGCCATCTCACTATTTATGGGTTGACTCTGGTTGAAAATGGCATATGTAGTCTTCTACAACTGCAATAATCAAAATGAAAGCTGACATTTTGGTTGGTTATATAAAGACTGCTCCTGAATAGCCATCATATATAGTAACAGTAGCTCAGAGATAAACAAGAGTGTCATGTAGATTGTGTGTTCAAGAGAAGGGACCTAGGTCTATGTGCTGCTGACAAGGAAGTACTGGCATACAAAGAGTTTCTGCTTTTAATACACAACTACAAATGTTACACCCTAAGTTTCCTAAGTAATGGAAAAGCACCAGCCCTGAAAATAAGGAACTGAATCTACTACTTGCTGAGTTACCCTGTTAACCTTGGCTAGTCACTGAGGCTCTTGGAACTTCAGCTCTTATATAAAATGAATGAAACGGTCAGTCACTCCTAAAGTTGAAAGGCCAATTTGGGGGGGTGTAACGAATGGATTGTTTGACTGGCAGTAGTTCACCCTTTCTTTGCTTAAGATATCAGCACTTCAGGATTCTTTATATTGCAAATATCTGTTTAGTATTCTAGCTGGCAGTGTAAACCTGAAAGAGTGGGACCTGAAACTGAGGGAGAAGAATGCCTCATGAAATAGCCAACTTTGTTCAGAGTATCAGACAATTTATACTCTGAGGGTTAAGAAAAGTTACCAGAGTAAAGTATACAATCACACATTTTTCCATAGAGACTGTGGTGGTTTGAATGAAAATGGCCTCCATAGGCCCATAGGGAATCGCACTATTAGGAGCTTTGACCTTGTTGGAGTAGGTGTGGCCTTGTTGGAGGAAGTGTGTTAGGGGTGGACTTTGAGGTCTCAGATGTTCACACCAAGCCCAGTGTCTTTGAGGTCTCAGATGTTCACACCAAGCCCACTCTCTTCCTGCTGCCTGTCAACCCAGATCTCTACAGCACCATGTCTGTCTGCATGCCACCATGCTTCTCACCATGATGATAATGGACTAAATCTCTGCACTATAAGCCAACCACAATTAAGTGTTTTCCTTTAAGAGTGGCTGTGGACATAGTTAGAAACACTAACTAAAACAGAGACACGTGAATAACAACAGCTGAAGTAACTCACTCCTATCTGCTACACCTGGGAGAAACATGAAAACACATTCCAAGAACAATTCTATGTTTTGAAGAAACTGAGGCCATAAGACTCTTGTCTTTGTTTTCTTGGAGTTTTCTCACAAGCACTCAGAATTCTCCATTTACAGTTCAAAAACTGTCAAAAACAAAAACAGTTCAAAAACAAAAACTAAACAAAATGCTCAGGACTTACAATCAAATATTAAAATATAAAAATCGAATATAAAAAATCTCTTATGGGTGTGCTTAGTATCATGCCCCGTAATAGAGAAGCTGACATAGTAAAGGAAAGTAAACTGTACCTGTTATCTAAAAGCCTCATTTCAGGCTGGGGTCCTGCTCTACAGCATGTTTTAAGGACAGTTTTGGAAGAATCAAAAGCCCTATCTTCTTTTCCTGGGTCTATATATTATAGTCACAGATGCAGTGGTTTTGAAATATGCCCATAGGTTTTTTTATATTCCTTCAATCAAAAGACGGATTCTAGCTTCCATCCTTTTGAATAAGGGCCAGCATTAGTGAATCCCTGCTAACAAAATGTGGTACAAAGCATGACTTGATTATAAAAGGCCATGCAAGTCTTGTCTGGCTTTCTCTTTGGGGATATTCATTCACTACTTTGTACAGAAGGCTAGGAAGCCACATAAAAAGGCTACAGGTAGGCGACTAATGCCAGGCTCATCTACAAGCCAAGACTCCAGCCACATCAATATTCAGCAGGCCCTCAGGTCACTCAAGGTCCCTCGTTTTTCAAGACACCTCAGATGATGCTTAGGAGAAAAAATATCTCCTTCCAAATCACACATTAATGAATTAAATCAGTATTGCTATTGTTTTAATTACGAAATGTTGAGGTTGCTGCTACAATGCAAATAGATTAATGTAAAATGTGACCTTGGTAAAATCAAGTCATCTCTCAGAACTTCATGTCCCATCTTTTAAACAAACAAAGGGGCAGAAGGGATGACTCAGCAAGCAGTTAAAGAGAACTTGCTCCTCTTGCTGAAGACCTGGGTTTGGTCCCAACACCCACATCTGGCAATCATAACTTCTTGACGTGGTTCAAGGGGATCTGATGCTCTCTTCTGTCCTCTGTGGGAACCTGCTTGTATATGGTGCACGTATATGTATATGAACATACATACATACACATACACACACAAAGTTGGGTATGCAGACATACACAATAAATAATTTTTTTTCAATAAAGAAACAGATGAAGGCTTTTAAATGTAAGTGGCCAACTGAGTAGACTTTTAACTCTTCTCAAAATTCCATTAAAACTACAAGAAATGGTTCTCTGTTATTTTCATGACATAAATCTACAGATTCAAAAAGAATAATCCAAACAGCTATATAGCCTCAAAGTTAAAAAGAACATGTGAATACTGACTTAGATGACTCAAGTCAGTTAATCACCAAGGCTCAATGAAGTAAGATGAGATGGAATTTGACTTACACTACTGAATTCCTGAAGGGGACAAAATCTGGACATATTCATTTAAATAGTGGGGCCAAAATAAAAACTGAAGTGAAAACTGAAGACAAGCTTAGATTCCTAGTTGGTCTCTCTGGCATGGGGTCACTGCCCCTCCCCCACCCCTATTCCAGCAGGCATCCAGAGATTTACATTGCTTGAAGAGAATACCACAGGCACTTTGGACTGGGAAAATGTCACAGATGAGGTGATAAGAGCAGCAAGAATAAGAGAGGTAGATAACTACTGAATTCTAAAAATGATCAAAAAACTGTAATGGCCTCCCTCTCTCCACAGCTCAGAGGAGATTACAGATTTCTTGGAGAATCTGACATTTCTCAAAAGAAATAACGAGGTTAATTAATTAGAATTCCCTAAACAGACCAATATTACCTATGATACGCTTAAGGTCAATAAACCTTTCTCATGTCTCAGATTTCAATTATTTGGTTCCCCACTACAAATGATAAGCAGAAAACTAAATATAAGCTTATGATTGAATGCTTCCAATGTGGAAGATAGGAGACAGGAAAAAAGACAAATAAGATTTGAATTAACGAAAATCCATAAAAGGAGGCGGGCTAGAAAGCTATCTTAGAAACCTATCAATTTTTCTTCTGATGGATTAAAAAAAAATCATGACATAAGAAAGTTTTGTAAAAGAAATATTCAGTATATGACAAAGAAATACTAATAACTAAAGACAGAAATTAAATACTCAATAAAGGACCTTTATGTTGCTGAGTGTGGGGTTACGTGCCTATAATCCCAGCTAGGCAGAAGGCTGAAAGAGAAGAATCATAAATTTGGGGTTAGTATAGACAATATTGCTAGATTCTATACAGTGTTTGTCAAATGCAC